GTATAACAAATAAATTCAGCAATGAATATGCTGAAGAGATATATTTAAATTTTGTCGTTTATTACATGGTTCATGAAGTTAAGCAGGTTCTTTGGTAATCTTATTGAGGAATATTTAGTATAATCATTCCAATTTGTTATCGATGAAATTAGCCGCCGGCTTTGGTATAGGAATAAGTACGAATACAGTTTTGATTGAATTTTAGGTGTTTTTTCCTAGGAGAACACCCTATTCAATTATCAGCCCAATGTATTCTAGTTAAGTACCTATGATATAAATTGATTTTTCTACAAAAATTGCCACATAAACATACACCATGTTCCAATATCGAATTTCATGAAATGACAGACTATTAGTTGTGAGAAAATCAGCAAGCTGAAGAGTTTTGCTGTAGTCATAGAAAACGCGTAGTATATAACTCACACAGAATGCTCGTATGATTTAACTTATGCAGCATACTTGAGTGCTTTCATTCACTCTGCACGATAAAAGACAAGTGTCCGACTACTGGCAAAGAAGAACACAACTTGTTGCTTCTTTTTGGCTTATTGATAATATGATCTATTGAGCATTTCTTTCATGCATCACATAATATGATTCTTTTGTAAAACTCAGTCCACTGTCCGACTATACTGACTGATTCACCCTATACATTGAGAGGCTTATCTTCATGTGTGCATATTATATTCAAGCATTGTTATGCATTTTATCTGCCACTGAATCCGCCGAATATTTCAAAATCTGATACTCTTACAATAGATGAGCTATAGACAACAATTAACGAGTTGGTATAAAAGACATACACGGGTTCTCTTATCGTCTTTTCACGAAATCAACGAACTACCGAAATCAAACAGCTGTTCAAGTTGGAGCGTTCAAACAGGATGCCGTTATCTTGGTTGTTCTATATTTGGCGTATACAGAAAATCATATTCTTTCAAAGCCTAGAAAGATGATGAAATCAGCTGAGTTATAGACTAAAATTAACGGATAATAAAGGAAATAATCCTATTATTATTGATTCTCTTATCGTTCCATATGAGATACAAGGAACTATCGAAATCACACAAAAAACAGCTGTTCAAGCTGAAACAAGAGCTGTTTTTAGTCCTAGACCTAATATTCAATATCTCACACTAAAACATATTTCTGCTATACAGGGCGGGTCAGCAAGAAATGTCGCTACCTCGTTTTTCATTTTTGTGACTCTTAGAGTGATTATCATCGTAAAAATGCCAGTCGACCAAAGACAGTCAGCAAGTCAACCAAGTTTATGATTTCATCACACTACCTACCAGTCATTATACAGGGTTTTTAAATATATATTTTTGTATGCCAAGTTGAGTAGTCATTGTGAGTCTACTCGCCTAGCAGGTGTTGAATAAAAAACGGATAATTTTGACATCATTTATTTCTTAGATATTATACCAACATTTTCAAGTTCAGTAAGAATAAAGGCGACCTCGTTGTTGTTTTTATCTGATTCCATTAAATATCTCAGTCTATCCACCAAGATATTCGAATCTGTCCATTCATCTAAAATATTGTACTCCTCATTCCCAATACTGGCTTCAGGCTCCACGCTCGACTTTGGACGTTTAGGTTTGGTCTTATTTTTGAAGAGGGGTCTGATAATTTTATCAAATTTCTCCTTATCAGCTTGTCCTCGTAATCGCCCTAATCGATCTCTATGAATAGAGCTGATTTCTAGCATCTGTTTATACATCTGGTGATCCAGAGGCGTGTAATTTCGAGGGTTCTTGGAAAATAATAATTCCAAAAGACCCAGAGTACTTTTAAAATCGACATTATCTACGCCTATGTATTGGTCCTCAAAGCGTAGATTCTTATGTCCAAGTGCCCATCTGCCGTCAACATATTTCAGTCCATAAGCATTATCATAATCTGCACAGTGATATTTATCTAATGCTTGCTCTGATGAATGTGGTTTAGACTCCATGATGTGAACGCTATGGTGTCTGATATACAGCTGAAGACTTTTGAATACATCTGAAGACATCTGAATACCTCTGAAGACCTCTGAATACCTCTGAAGACCTCTGAATACCTCTGAAGACTTCTGAATACCTCTGAAGGCGTGATCTGAAGACCTCTGAAGACATCTGAAGACATCTGAATGCGTGATCTGAAGACCTCTGAATACCTCTGAATACTTCTATAGGTGTGATCTGAAGACTTCTGAATCCATTAACTGCCATCCGCTTATCAGCTAGGTTATTCGAATTGGTGGCGTCCAATCTATGGGCATTCCTCATATGGTGGTATAGATTAGTTTTATTCAAGAATTTCCCGCATTTCTCGACACACAATGCTTGGTGTCGATTATAGCGAAATTTTCACTCTTTAAAACTCTCCCACGTTCTATTGATATTGAAAGCAATCCACTCTCCAGTATTGAGACACTCTGTTATAAATCTGAAATATCTGTGCTCTTAGAGTTCCTGAAATCTCCTGCTACCACTCTGCTAAAATTCACCGAACAAGAATTGCACTATATTCCAGTAGAGTGTATCATTGAATATGCAGATCCTTATGGGCTATTAAGGGTGTGGCACAAACTTCCTCAAGAATATCGCAGCAACTTTAACCTACAAATCAAACTGCCATGCTTCGTTCATTATAATCGTCCCGATTGGACCACACACTGGGATGGACCACCATCTTCTCAAGAGGCATGTCATTTTTGTAGAAAAGGATTACTTAAATAAATAGATTATTTATCTTCGTTTTCGTATTCTTTCACCCCCATGGGCTGCCCTGTATATATTTTTTTTTCAATCTTCATCAACTCAAACACCCTGTATATATTTCTTTCAACTCAAACACTCCTTCCATGCTAAAACATGGGACCGCGAACCGTGGGACACTCTGTATATATTTTTTTTCAATTCTCAATCAACTCAAACGCCCCGTATATGAAAATTCAATCTTGTTATTGTCATTAAAGTCACAGTAAAAAATAAACTGACTGTTTTGAGTGCACAAGAGCTTATATTAGGGTTTTGCGATGTTTGCAATAGCATGTCTAGTAACGCTCTCAGAGAATATCTATATTACTGTAAAAATGATTTGATGGCTGATTTGAATAAAAACCTGTGAAATATGTGACTCGTTTTTTATTTATTTCATCAGTCTACAACTTGACGCGAAACTAGTAGCATCTGAAATATTTTAGCTCTGCTCGAAAAATCATGAAGTCTGAAATAGCTGTGCTATTGGAGTTTATAAAATCTCCCGCTTTGACTTTGACGAAATTCACTGAACAAGAATTGCAGTACATTCCAGTAGAATGTCTCATTGAATATGCAGATCCCTGTGACCTATTAAGGGTGTGGCACAAACTTCCTCAAGAATATCGCAGCAACTTTAACCTACAAATCAAACTGCCATGCTTCGTTCATTATAATCGTCCCGATTGGACCACACACTGGGATGGACCGCCATCTTCTCAAGAGGCATGTCATTTTTGTAGAAAAGGATTACTTAAATAAATAGATTATTTATCTTCGTTTTCGTATTCTTTCACCCTCATGAGCCGCCCTGTATATATTTTTTTTCAATCTTCATTAACTCAAACACCCTGTATATTAAAATTCAATCTTGTTATTGTCATTAAAGTCACAGTTTGAGGAATGGGTATACGAGCGCGCGCTTATCATTCTAAGGGATCTCTCGCTTTGCTGGATCTTCGAACGCCATGAATCGAGACAGCGTTGCCACACACAATAATGTAACAATATTAACATCCAAACACATACGTCTGACAACGTTGCAGCGCCGAGCGCTTGAGCCTTACTCTACCTCGATAGATCCGTTGCAAAGATAAGCGAGCGTCAGCGATGGATATTATTTTCAACTCGAAGTTTCTTATCTCTGGAATGCATCTCTCGCTTCACTCTACCTCGATGGATCCGTTGCAAAGATAAGCGCGCGCCAGCGGTGGATAACCCGTTTGAATAGCATTAAAATAATAGAAATATCACGGAGGTCGGAATACCACAGTGCGTATATACGCTGCCTCATAATGCAAAGGTCCCTGGTTCAATTTCCCCCAGCGTTGACAGCTTTTTTTAATTTATTTATATAAAAATTCATCATGATGATGATGATGTCGTCACCATCTTGTTATTGTCATTAAAGTGTTATTTGTTGCGGTTTCGATAAGCTCGCGCTCCCGCTACCCCGCTTCCCCGCTAGAACACAGGCCGCGTTCCAGTTAAGATTAAAGCATGTATTTCCCTATGCTGGTAGTCGTGCTCTCTTAGTTTTAACTACTAACATCGTGTGTACCTAGGGCGGATAGGGAGAGGATTTAGGTATTGGAAGGTTTTTTGAACTTTTGGGTATTATAAGTTTCTGGAAAATTATAAGTTCTTGGGAAAAACCTACGCGTAGACGAGACTTCCGCTTTTACCAGAAGTTGGCCACAATTTCTTCGTTTTAAATGGGATACCCTGTAATATATGCAATAATCAGAATCAATGGTTCATATTGAGTCCCCACGTCATATCCTACAAATCACTGAAAAAGTCCTCGGCGTTTTTGGCTAATTTCAACAATCATTCCGTCACAAAAACTCAAACAATAAAATGTTAAAAGCCAGGTGTTGATTTGATTTACATGAATATCAAAGAAATGAGTAAGTAAAGGAGGTAAAAGAAGTATCGAAACCTTATACAGAGTAATCATGAATTCATTCTGAGTTGGCAAAATTTGATGTTGAAAAGTGTATTTTTTCTTCAAAAACCTATATTCAAATTATGATAAAATATGGGTGTTTCATTTGAATAATAACAGGTTGGGTTTACTTCAGGTTAAACATGTTATCATTGGCCTTAGTGATAGAGCAGAAAACTTCATTTCAGTTCATTGAATTTCAATTCAATATCTCCAGAATACCCAGGAATGTGGAAATAGACAATACACATAAATGTGGATAGAAAAAAATACTCTGAGCGAAATCATTGTTTGTTCATTACCTGGAATTCAGTACCCAGAGGAACAGTCCTAAGGGGGCTATCAGAATGAATACGCCAGTTGGCCAGTACGTTCAAACTCATGTACTGTATGACTTTCACTTCAACGACTATCGATAGGCGCTGTTTCAGTCCCTGTTCATCTGTGGCGGTGATTATGAGCAAGGTATGACCTAAGACGCCGAATGATTTGAGTGTACCAGTCGGGGTTATGGAGACTATGACGTCATTGGTGACTGACTTGTCTGCTAGCAGTTCGGTGGACGGGGCTTGGTCTCCTGGTAACCTGAAACAATTGAATTTAATCTTCCAGCCTATATTGTCCATTATTATAGTATCAGAATGAACAAGAATTTGCAATCATTAGGTATAGTGATTTCAAAGTCAAAGCAAAAAACATAAACCGCGCGATGTCGGTTCATATGAAAATCGTATGAAGTCTGTAAAGTGTACACGTGGCAGACATTACTTGCTTGAGGCACTCCAACTGACTTTGGATAGACTTTACCTGATATTTTTTCAAATAGGTGCGTGCCAAGGAAATGATGACATTTTGTAAATATTCATACTCACGAATATACTATTTTTGCACTGCTGCTATCCATATTGGTCTTCAGCTGAATTTCAGAAAATGGAGCCATCAGCAGCGAAGTACCCGGCACATCTTTGGGAAGCAACAAACTAAACTCCTGAATAACCTCAATGTCGAACCAAGCCGATAACATCACGCTCTCTAAATTAGCGACATTCGCCGTGGGTCCTGGTACGGTGGCATTAACGAGCAACCTAGTTCTGCCGGGTTGCAAACCGTGAACCTTGATGGCCACTCTGTCTGGTTTCTTTTTGAACACACCAATCGGGTGAAAAGCTCCGCTCAGATCCACCAGAAGTTTGTCGTCGACTGTCCATTTGAAATTTATCGGAGGATTCTCCAGACTGCCCAGAACCATCGGAGACACGTCTGGCACACCAAAGCACCAGAATGGTACTTTCGAACCAACCTTAAACCTGGCCAGAGGCGCAAGGATTTTTATTGCTTGGAGTTCCACTACCTGCAGTTCAACTGTATCCTATGGAAAATAAAAATAGGATATTGTGCTTGACAAACATATATATTGTGTTCTGAATGTTGGCGAAGGTTTCTTCATTGTAGTTGATTTATTTAACAATCGGTAGGTGGACTGCTTTTTAAAGAAACTTTACATAAATGCTTAAGTGGATGATATCGATGATACATCAGGTTCTCCTCTATTAAGGGGTAGAAGACGAGGTAAATATTTGAAATTCCAGAACGGACTCCGTCTTTCTCACTAAATATCTCCGCCTCGCTCGTTCGATAGGCGCATCTTATTACCGCGATGAAGACATACGAGGGGATGTCCAAGATTATTCGAGAGCGAAATATAGAAAAGTGAAGGGTTTTTAGATGCTGTGAGATAAGTTGCCGTGAATTTTCAAAGCTGCTCTTATGTATGATATTTAGAAGGGTCATTTTGTATCATGAATGTGAAACTGCTGTTTTTTTTTTCACGATGATTTCATCAAAATTCTCTTGATCAATTCACCATATTTCTCGACTTTTGAGTGGAATAGGAATTTCCACAAGGATACAAGGATTATATTGTTATTGAATATATTCATCAGTTTGCTGTATATTGACCGATATGGGGAAGATGCTATTAGAAACTATAGGACAAATTCGATATACAGGGCGATTCATGAAGAGACTCACATATAGCCAAATGGTGAATAGGGGAAAACAAAACGAATTGAGATTCCATGTATGAAAGATTCTGTTGGCCTTCAATAACGAAGATATTATGTGAAATTGCCATATTATAATTTCAATGGCCGACATTTCAGATATGATTCATCCCAATTAGGCAGCGACGTTTTTTTATTCAAGATGGCATATTATAAATAAAAACAGATCCGAAAAATTCATGTTCTCTTGTTATATAGAAAAAGCTCATTTTATGATCAGTTTTCTAGAAACATTTCATCAGATTCAGGAAGATCAGACATAATGCCATTAGAACTGCTCTCCAATTTGCACGACACCCTTTGATCGGTTCATTAAAAAATATGAAACAAAAATGTTCGAATGAATTTTCAATTTGAACCTAGCTGATAACTCTCTCATTTCAACTGGATTCGAGTGAATTTACGATAGGAATCGACAGATATAAGTAGTTGATAAGAAACCACAAAACTGTTTTTTTGGTGATTTGAAATGTTCGTTTTTGATCGACATCGTGACTTGTTTCTATTTACAAATATCAATGAAGTAATAATGAAATAGTATAGGCGGTGTTTTTCATCATTTGACGTGACGTGACATCTGTTGATAATCAGAAAAGATGGGTACTGGTGAAATTATGGCATGAAGATTTCACGAAAGTGTGCTGCTGGGCAACACCACGACGAGTGGTATTTCAACACAATTGAGTTAACAGTGAAAGACAGAATCATGAGAACATATTCAGAACGGAGTTGTTATTTCTTATAAATGAGCGATTCGTATTCTGACGACAGATATATTTTTTTTTTGCCAAACTGACAGACTTTGCTTCGCTATCCATGGTTTCATCTTCGAAAACACCAACGCTGATAGACCAATCAGAATTGAAAGACCGCTTGTGTTTTCGCGATTACACACGTTGTGATGTGATTGATTAGATTATGTAATGAATGAAATTAGTATATTGTTTAACGAGCACGGAAAGATAGTGATTTCCTACGAGAATAAAGTTTGCAGCATGAGCCGTATTGGCGAATGCTGCCATAATTTTTTTACGGCTATAATAGATAACAGCAACATTTTCGATTTCTTCGTCTTGTAGCTATTTGATTTCCTGTCAAGTAATGCTCATCTATCAGACAGCGATGTCATTGCTTCACATTTGACATTCCATGAGCGATGAGATTTTTTGGAAATAATAACACGATGAATTTCATTGTGATATCAGATACGGAAATAATATTGATGATATACAAAGTACCTCATTGACGTATCGAACACAGTAAAACAAGGGCAATTGTGTGTTATAGCCGTAGAAAGGTTTTACCCCTATACATATTCTTGGGTCTGTAAATCTTCTATGTTATTGAACATTGCAAACATTTGAACTTTCTCCATGTTCAGCATTTGAAAAATAAAGTGACATCTTGAGTGCAAGAATCACACGTCACATCATAAAATAAAAAATAGGGCACGACTACTAATATCTATCTAGAATTTTCATCAAGAACTAACATTTCAAATCATCAAATAAATCAGTGTTATAGTGGTACTGTGCTTTTTCTCTTTTCTGTCAATTTTTACCCTACAAAAATGTACAAAAAATCTATTTACATGAATCCAGTTGGAAGTACTGTTTACTTCATCAGTCAGGTCGAAAATGAAAATTCATTCGAACGTTTTTGTTTCATATTTCTTCATTGAACCGGTCAAAGTGTCGTGCCCTGAAAATGAAGAGCAGTCCTTATGGCATTTCGTCAGATCTTTCTGATTCTGATAATAATTCTCGCGAACAGTGATCACCAAGTGAACTCTTTAAAAATCAGTAAAACATGAATTTTTCCTATGTCCGGATCTGGATTTTTTCCATAAGGTGCCATCTGGAATAGTTTCGATCGAGGTTTCGATAGAGAAACGTAGCTGCAAAATTTCAGCAAATTACGATGAGTCATTTCTGAAATGACAATTTCACATAGTAGTAGATGGATTTTTTTTCATATACAGCGTCCCACACTTGGAAAAACGCTTTTCTCTTTCTATATCTTAGTTATTAGTCGTGCGATTTTTACCAAATTTGGACTGGTATTCTGTATCTAGGGTTCTATTAAAATAAAACGGGGTCGATTTTTCATTAAAAGGCATCTTTCAACAGGAAAACGAACCTCATAATATTGTTCTTCATCGTTATAAGAATTTTCACATGAATTCTATGGAGGGTATCAGCATCAGCATTTTTGCGAACGTAAATTATTATTCTATGCAACGATCACGAGGAAACCATGTATATGGGAGTGTATTGATAGTTCAATATCATGATAGTTTCATACACTATTTTTTGTAGGACCACAAGTCGGAAGTGACAACTTCGATGGCCCGTATAGTATTTCCAATTTTTTTTTAGACAATGCGGGTAAATCTGAATGAAGTTATATCAATATGAAAATCTTGATAGAGAAATTTGACATTTGCGACTAAGAACTTCCAAATTGCATCTCATCAAAAGTATTCATTACTCACCCTGTGTATTATAAATGATGTGAATGATTTTCGTAATCCGAGCGAGAACACAATATGATCAGATCGACTATCGGTGACTTCGATGCATGTATTACGCTATTCAAGACTCGAGAACATAATACAGGGTGTTATTTAAGTACGTGGCCAAACTTGAAGGGGTGATTCTTTGGGTGATTCTAAGACGAAAAGTTCATATAAACATAGGTCCGGTAATGCTTCGTTTTCAAGATACAGGGTGTCAAAATTTTTAAAAGAAATCGTTTTTTTCGTAAATATCTTAATAACCCTTCAACCGATTTTATTGAAAGGCAGTGTTATTCAAGGTCGTAAAGGGCTAATTCAACCCTAACTATATCAAAAATATTAGTAAGACCCCAGTTTTTGATGGTTTGGTAGTTGAAATGTTTTATTGTGTTGTCACAGGGATGTGCAATGAAGTGATTTTTATGTTTTTTCTCAAAAACAAAGCAAGATACGAAAAAAATTCTAGATATGAAAAAGTTGTAATTTTAGTTGCTCAATGTGAAACAAGTACAAAAATTGCAAAAAAATCAGTGGCGCACATTTTTTCTGTCAAAAATATTGGTTACAGTACCTTCCGGGGCGCCACTGGACATGATAATTTTGATTTAGTTAGGGTTAAATTAGCCCTTTACGACCTTGAATAAGACTGCCAAATTTTAATGAAATCAGTTGAAGGGTTATCAAGATATTTACGAAAAAAAAAAGATTTCTTTTAAAAATTTTGACACCCTGTATCTTGAAAACGAAGCATTACCAGACCTATGTTTATATGAACTTTTCGTCTTAGAATCACTCAAAGAATCACCCCTTCAAGTTTGGCCACGTACTTAAATAACACCCTGTATATAACAGCCATCGCATATCAACATAAATAGATATTTGGAATTGACTCGGCCGTACCAGTATACCACCTGACGAAGCTACTGTATTAGGGAAAAATGTCGTGTGTTTGAGAATTTTGTGGAAATCTTATCGTTTGTGGAGTTTTCACATGAATAGATATACCTACACTGGTACGCGTGCTTCCATGACGCGAGTCTGCCGGTTTACTCTCATCCCAGAAAGTGACTAACTGGCCTATAGAAATTATCGCTCCAAAAATCAATTAATTTCTCACTATTCATATTTCAGCATTCTCCAACATCATAAGTACATGAATTGCATGAACTTTTGACGCATTCGCGTTGTTATTATGATTTTCATTTGGAATTAAATGTCAAACAACTCAAGTAAGTGAGATAGAAACATAGACCCACTTGATTATACCCAAGTAGGTACTACGTGTTTTTATGGGCCAAAAATTTTTTATCATAATGAAAAGAACGTGTCTTCATTGGTTAACATCTGTATCATGATTGAAATCCGAGATAATTAATTCGCTTCTTATAAAATGGGAGTAGAAAAAATTATTCATTCGGAAAAGATGAGTTCAACCAAAAAAGTGTGCCTTGTTTTTTTTTATGTAAACCATAATTTTCTACCTACTGGTGCTATTGAACGTTCCAGAATTTACGGTTAATAATTAGAATTCATTACTATTATTAGGGGCTGATAATGAAGAGAGAAATTTGACCCATTCTATGGTATTTTAAAATTATTGAATTTTTGCACATAGAGGTTCGAAAACATGAGTAACATACTGTTAGTTCCTACAAAAAATCCTGATTTATGAAACCCATTTCAATTTCAATAAAAACGCACGGCACTGTTTATAATGATGTTTCTTTTCCTAAAAACTGATCATATCAATGGTAATTCATACTATAGTCCAAATTTGGTAAGAATCGC